TCCAGGTCGGCGATGATGCGTGCACGCGGTCCGCATCAGCATCATACCTACTTTACGCTCACAATACTTTACCTACTCAGGTGCGTGGCTTAATTAAACCTGTCAATATGAGGAAAAAAGAAATGTGGTTCTCTTTTTCTCAGATCTTGATGATGCTGTGCGTGTTTCTTCCAACGCTGTTCGGTTTGTGGTTTTAAATCGTGAAACGTGATATCATTTTGTGTTGTGATCGTCTCCGTTATCGTGGAATTTCTGGGGGCATGGGGCTGGGTTATAAGTTGTGGGAATGAATGTTCTCTATCTTTCGGGAGGTATCGTTTAGAGTCTTGACCTACTGAACTTGCTGTGGGCTGGTTGAGAATCTGTAGGTCCTCTGGGTCAGACAGACGGAGAGATATTCTAAAGTACATACCTACTCTACACGTACATGGCCCAGAAGTCTCGCTCCAGCCTTATCAAACCTATAAATAATCCAATCAAGGATACTTTATCGTGCATCCGCTTCAAGCTGGAGAGATGGTCGTCATTTGTTGTAGATTTGCATCATCACCGCGCGTGATAACGGGAGTCAAGGGAAATGAACTGATTTCAAACATATGCGAGTGAATAAAGCTTTGACTGCGATAGAGAATAATTCCTGCGATACGATGGTACAGGACATGTCGTGAAAGGTGGTCATGCATTTGAGGATACTTTCCAGGTTGTGTGCGGTGGCGGCGATTTCAATTGCGCCACCTGTTCATATCGAGTGACACGCCATGAATTTAAAACTTAAACTACAACGTTCTCATAACATAAACATTCTTCTCAACATATATAATCCCCCAACACCCTCAACGATTGAATATCATCTAATCTTCGGGATTTTAGTCTAAGAAGATCAAAATGTCAGGTTTGTTGAATTATGAAGCTTCATTTTTTAAGACAAAATTGAGAGCTGAAAACAAGGCAAGACTACACAGACAGGTACATCACTGTATTCTCACCCGAGGGAAGGCTTTTTCAAGTTGGTAAGTTCAATATTTCCACTGCTGTCGAGTTTGCTGATGACTCCTCAGAGTATGCATCGAAGGCAATTACAGGATCAAACACACATGTCAATTCCATTGGTGTTCGCAGCAAAGATTATGCAATTGTTATCGCGTATAAACGTTTACCAGTGAGTATAACATTCTCGCCTCGTTTGAGTAAAAGGAATATTAATGTCAATTATTGCATCTCAGGAAAAACTCGTTGATCCCATCTCTATAACCCACATATTCCAGATCTCCCCCTCAATTGGCTGTGTGATGGCAGGCAGCGTGCCCGATGCTCGTGCCCTTGTTACCCGAGCTCGAAGCGAAGCTGCAGAGTTTCATAGAACAAACGGCTACGAGATGCCGTGTAATGCCCTCTCCCAGAGGCTGGCAAACATCAATCAAGTTTATACCCAACGTGTAAGGATTTTTTCCCCTCCCCGGCTTGACCAGCCGAGATATTGCTAAAGTAAAGCCAAGGCTCACATGCGCCCACTTGGGGTGGCAATGACACTCATATCCGTAGACGACGAGCTTGGTCCGCGGATCTTCAAGGTCAACCCAGCTGCTGAATGTGTTGAATACAATGCTGTTGCTTCAGGCCCAAAAGAGCATCAGCTTCTTACGTATCTTGAAAGAAAGCTTGGAGACCGAAGATATGCCTTCGGTAATTGGCGGCGGCTTGCTAATATGGGAGTGAAAGCCTTGAACGCGGCTTTGGTCACTACATTGGAGAGTGATGAGGTTGAGGTTGGGGTTGTAGACCGAAACGGGTTTAGGAAATTGACTCTTAGAGAAGTCAAGAATGTCCTTAGAGACGTCAAGTGGGATATTTTGATAGAGAGAGAATCTCGCCCTCGTGTAGTTTGATAGGGGCTGTTAATGCAACAGGGGATCAGTGTTGCTCTTGATTCGGGAGACCACAAGAATCACGCATGGTTCTAGAAGGTTGGCAGATCTTTGATACTGGTTGGAATCTTGTGTTTCATAGACCACAGTACTCTAAAAAGAGGGAGGGGTATGCAATTCGTTTCGTGGTTTTGTTGCACTGTGTAAAAACGCCGAATGAGACATGAATTATATCTTATTACCGTATACCAAAGTTTGATGGTATGCTAAAATTACTGATTTTTCAAAATACAGCTTCTGCCTTACCAAAACAGCGTCCCTCGGCACCCAAAAATTCAGCATTGTTCCCCAGTATATAAACCAAACCACATTTTCCACAACTTTGAAGGATTATCCCACCTGGATGCAGGGTGTATTCCCCCTTCTACATACATATCCCGGTGGGAGCATGAGACATTATAAATTGACGGTCCAAAAGTCATTACCGCGCCTCCGGGGGTCGATCAATTATCCTAGTGTTTTGTTTGGGCTATTCACATATATTTAATGGATTTCTAGCATGGCATAGAAATGAGTACCTCTGGCCCAGCTAGTCTCGAAGGTTTTAATTTTCTGATATCTCAAAAGAGCAAGGATTAGTAAGGAGTGTAATACTACGTTCTCAGAAAGACACTACCGAGAGATAATAACGATGTTTCAATCATTGACCTCAAACCCAACTGATTGTAGTATAATGAGAATGTGATTGTAGTATATTCATACTAAATACAAGTGGTTTCCGGCCTTCGGCCGGTACTACATGTATATCAATCAGTCCATATACAGGCAGGCCGCCTTGCGGCTTATTTTCTCTATTTACCTGTCAGTCGGGGCTCTCAGGCCGCTGCGCGGCCCTCGACTCCTCCTGGTAGGCAAAGTCCATCACTATATCTGCTCTGGTCGATATGTGCCTTTCTGATCAGTGATACCCCCCATATATCAGTGGATAGGTCACAGTTCAAGCGCCTGCAAGTATCCCTTTAACAACCACCAAGCCGCTAAAATCGAACTACTAATCGATTCCCAGAACCAGTTGAAAACTTATTAACAATCTAACACCACTCAGCACAATACCCTATGTTCATATCCAACACAACATGTTTCAAGTGAAACAAAAACCTCTCTCAATGAGCCAATCAAAAGCTTTTAAATGTACATCGCATATGCAGGTTATAATTATATACTTATTAGATAAGGTTTGTATCTATGAACCCTAATGGTATATAACGCTTACAAATCGCTCAAGCTAAAATTCTCCGGGGTCAAAAAGAGTTTAATTATTGGAGACTGTTTGATAAGATGATGTATAAGATCCATACATGTGCATTGTCAATCTAGGACGGACTAGAGGGCTACTAAGTCGGACCAGTCAAGCCTATCAAAACCTGAGGCTAGCCCGGTTTACTTATAGATCCTGGTTCAGACAGCTCCATGTATCCGCTAGTCTATCAAAATCTCCGTTGACAATATATTAATACAGAATGCTAGCTCAGAGGTAAAACTTTCTCGCTGAACGGCGACCTAGTTACGGACCTTTAATTTTAATTGGTGAGTGCCTTGACTGGTACGCAAACGTATGGGCAGAAATTTGAAGGAAGCACCTGTAATTGTTCGAGGATCCGGAGAATGACGATATCTTAGAATGTCTATCCGTCAATACATTGACCCAGAAATTATATATGTTGACTGAGATGTGCAGTGGGCTTAAGATGTGTTAAATACCAATATCTGAGCTCGCATATCTACTTTCTTTGATTCTAACAGCTGGTAGGAACACTACTACCCCCACTCACAGAATGAACCGTAGTTCAGCTGGCGCTCCTTTTGACTTCTTTGCGTACTACTAATTGATTGATTGATTGATTGATAGTTAATTCGTGTATTAATGTACTACTAGTGTTTAATAGGAAAAATCATTATTGGACTGACTTTTTATAACACTAGTCTATTCAGAAAGGGCTTGGTCCATTCATAAAACTTCTCTATCGGTCCTTGTTTATCATAAGCCTTCACAGGCCGGGCAGGCAGGACAAAGACCACAAATAGGGCACAGATTGTCATTACGGTGTTTGTCATAATGTGTCCTATATATCGTTGTATAATTGGTGCATATGTACATAATATTAGAAGATACTGTTATTTAGTAAGTGCCATTATTCTAGAATACAGAGCTTTATTTCAAGAAGCAGATGATGCTCCTATATCATCTTTGTTGACCTAATCAATCAACCAATCAACCAAATCCTATATATTGAAATGCAGTTGTGGAATCAAATAAAAGGTTGCGAAGTATACAAGACTTTGTATATTATTATGAGAACTATAGAATTGGTGTGTCTTATATACCCATATAAGACTTGGCATAGCCTACATTAAACCTCCTACTATGACTACATAGTGATAAACATGTATAATACATTTATAACCCCGGGCTCAAAAGCCTATTTCAACACGATATCGTGTTGGATCGACGAGTGATATCTCATGATTATGAATTCATTGTATCGCAAAAGCACGCAATTAATGAGCTAATAACGGCTCCAGGTCACCTGCTCGCACAATATAGATGAGATATATTAAGATAATCAGTCAAACTAAGTTCTACCTAGTAAAAATACTCTTACTAGTAAGTATCTTCTGCAGAAGATGTATCTCACATCAAATTTCATTTTGAATACATACACTCGTACGTAAATACATGTATTTACTCCTACTTACCTTGAGCGTGTGGTCTCATGGGTTAAGTAATAGTGTTCACCGTTAGCTCATCACGTACTAAGTATTAACTTGAAACAAAAGGTGTTTTCTATTCCAGGTATTCAACATTATATACGTTGACTTACAGCCATGGCCGTGTACTAACATATCCAAGATTCAATATAATAATCATAACCCAAACGTCAAATTATAAAAAGAGACCGTGGGCCCTAACTAAAGACATTATAAAAGAAATAGTTTTAAACGCCCATTTTATCCCGCATCCCGTATCCCGTATCCAATTCATTTACCATTGATCCCATTAACGCCCTCCTCGATATTATTACACATAGTTCCAGCCCATATGTGCTGAAATAATGCAAAAGTGATAGATTCTAACTAGGACCTCCTTGCATTTCCAGTGGCGATTGCTTCCCTAAATAATGTATCCGCCCAGGTAGGTTGCTCAACGTCTTCCTCTTTTACCACAGCAGTACTGGGTCCCATTGCGCGCATCTCAATATTACCCTCTCCCTTGGCCTCATCGTGTTCAACAGAGACTGATTGAGAAACCATGATTCCCCCATTAAGAAAAGGATTGCCTGTTGGGTACTCGAGAACCAAATTCTTCTCCGAGGATGAAGATGCACGGCTCGAAAGGGTAGTCGTTGTAATAGTCGGCCCTTTTTGCCACGGAATCAACGTGTTGGCAAACTTTGCGCGCATTGGCTGGGCGATTTTGGGAACATGGGTGATCCTTGCTGAGAATTCTCTATGTGTTCGTCTTGCGTGGATTGCATGATCCGGAGAGAAGGGGTAACACCGTTGCTGTAAGGAGAAAAAGGGCAATGATACAAACTCGAATGCGGTGTTGTTAGTGATTGTCCGAGAGTGGATAGGCACCATAGTCTTAAAAGTTATTATGTGAGCAGTGCCTGTTTCATTTTTGTTGAGATCCAAGTATGGTATGGGAATGGGAGTAAGAACAAGTGTAGCATCGGCAAAGAATGGATCTTGGATCTCGTTAATGAGTTCTCGGAGAGCATCATGGAACATGATGACAAATGGGGAGACATCAAGTGTTCCACCTGATTCAGGGCGTCGTAACGCCTGTGAACCGCTAATGATTTGCATAGCGGTTTTGTTTTCTTGTTCTTGTAAGTAGTGGAGTTGGGTCTGTTCAAGTGTGGCTATCGGAAGCTTTATGGTGGGTAGCTGGTTACGGGCATTTGCACGAACTAGAACGTCAAAACTACCTTTTACGTTCGCTCGAACCGCAAAGCAACCGATATAGACGCCCGGGTGAAGCTCATACTCTGCGGAAGCACAGTGTTTCATTGTGTTCATGTGTGTTGTGATAGTTTCCTTAGTGACTTGCATAGATCTGGCGATGTTTTCCGCTACATTACTGGGACTGGTGAACCTGAAGCCATGTGCGGCTAGACGTACAGCATCCAATTTGGTGACTTCATTCACGAGGAAAAGAAACTTTCCCTTGCCATGACTGGCTTCGAGGTCGGTATGCTTTTTGGCAAGGGATGTTCCTCCAGTGACGATTATCTCGTCATAGAGGAACCCCATCTTGTCTAGTGACCGATGAGTGCCATCGGCCAGATCTTGGGCAGCGACACAAAATTGTCCCCGAAAAATAAAGCCGTAGTCTTCAACATAATCTGTCGAACGTGTTTGAGAATTGTACTGTTGGACGTGTGCTTTCATCCCCTCGAGAAGGCCGTTTAAGGAGTTCCAATGCCTTGTTGTTCGGTAGATCCATTGAAATATAGCGTGCGATTTATCGAAACCTTCTTCAAATGACTGAAATACGTCAATAATTAGTTAAATTCTGGTTGGATAGAATGTCATGTCTGTACAGTGAACTTACCTTCTCGCGGAAAGCATCGGTAATCTCCTTGGTCGGAAGCATCCCATCTGGTAGTACCATCAGCCTACCCAGAGGGTCAAAGGTTGCCGATGCAAGAACAATTTTTTGAGCACGATTGTATTTTTGTGCTCTCGCCCTTTTGACTCCAATGGCAAAGAATAGCATGAGAAAGCACGAGACTACAGACTTCATTGGTTGTTAGAATCAGTACGATAAAGGTTCATCTCAATAACTTACCATCACAATTGTAATAATCACGGTCATATGTCGAGTGTCATGCCCAAACCTATTGTCGGCTTCTGTATTTACTTGATATACGGTCCCAAGGGCTGCAGTCCAATGCATCCCACTCACCGCCCCGCTGAGAATAATCGCACACAGGACTCTTTTATACCAAGAATTGGTAAAATTCTTCCGCAATATAAAGAAGAGAGTTAAGGCGATCGTGGTGGCCACAACTGCGATCAAAACAGATCCAACCACATGCCCTGGGAGGTAAGTAGGCTTATAGTTGTAAATGCCGGCTTGTCCCTTCAGATAATCAGTAATAATTCCCACAATTAAAACTCCCACTGGATGACATACAAGGTAATGCATGCCGCAGATGCTTAGTCCCGCAAATATTCCACCTGTGCCCAGTCGAATCCACGACACGGACTCACTTGCGCCCATCAACAGATATGAGAAAAAAACAAAAACAACTGGTAAAAAGAAGGACACAGTAGTGTATCCAGGGCTGTAGATGAGCTGTAGTTTATTCTGCCCATCAAAACCGGGATAGAGTATAATAGCACAATTTCCTATATAGTGCATTGCCCAGATAGCCACGCCCCCCATGGTCAATGATGAACCTGCCAGGAGATACCTTTATCATGGCGCTACGTTAGCAAAATAGCTGGCGTTTACTTGTTGATAGCTCTAAAGAAGAAGAAGCAGGAATAAGAATTCCATACCAATTGTACATTCCCCTCCTCGAAGTTCGTCTTTGCAGTAATTCAACTGTAGATAGTGATCCAATGAAAGAAATGATATATGATAGGGCAATATAACCAGCCGAAAATGCCTGCGGGGCATACTCTATAGCCATGGTGATGATGGTGAGGTCCAAGAATCGGGTTGGTTTTGATAAAACCTAGATGATCTAGGTCGAGCGACGTCCGGAAGAATGGATTGACGTCTGCGAGCTCTGTCCGTGGCTACTCGCTCAATAGTAAGCTGACTGTTCAGTGCCAGCAAACGACGAATAAAAATTGTCGGACACGTAGGGTAGCCAGTGATTCGTGAAAGACTCAAAAACAAGTATTAAGGGCGAATCTTATGCTTTTGAAGCAGCCCCAGTTGGGGTCGTACGGCGTCGGGTTCTATTAACGATGGAGCACCGGGTCTATCCATTCAACTTGACCCTGATTGGTGTTAAGCGATTACATTGAAAGTGAGGAAAAAGCAATTGCTTGAAAAAAGAAAGAAAAAGAAACACCGGCAGTGGGAAAGCGGAGCCATTCCCGGGTGCATGTCGCCGAACTTAGTACCCTTGGTTCTGTTATTTATTTCTCCAAGGGTGAGGATTTCAGCTGTATTTTGGAGATCCATTAGCAGGGATTCACAGAGGAAGATTTTGGCCGTGGTTTGGGATCTTGGGCCGTCCGCCTGCCTTTGCATCCGCCTCTCGCCTCTACCCCAGGGATACAGCTGATTCTCATTAATGGTTAAAATGAGCCACTGAGGCGCTGATATTGTGATAGCTGAGATTGTTCTTGTGCATCACTATTGCCCCCCCGGGGGGGGGGAGGGGTGGGCAAATCATCCATCTTGTTCCCGGGGAAAAAAAATGCTTATGATCTACGTTTTGATAGTGATGTTGGCCAATCAATAAACGTGGTAGAAGATGTTACGCAGGAACGCTAGTGGCGCCCTTGATGCCTGTTTCTCTGCACTCCCACCCCGATAATCTTCAAAATAGTACGGTACTGTAGTATGCTACATTTTAGAATGATTGTTATCTCCAATACTACCAACAAACTTCTCAAAGGAATATTTACGACAATCGGAATGGCTGCGAATTTTTCAGCCTGAGATAAGTGCTCGAACGTACGTTTTGCCTCCTTTTGTTCTTCGTAAGGTACCCTGATATATATATCTGCTGGAAGTCACTACACGATAGTCAATAAATCATAGAATAAAACAGTTCTCTATAGAGGTTAAGATGGCATGCTGCTAACTCTTTGTGAGACACTTCGTTTCTAGCTGTGTTCTTTCTATGTTCGATATGTCGAACTCACGGCCTAAATGCTGCAGTAAAGCTAATTGGGACAAGTGTTTGGTGCATTTAAATCTCCTTGCTAAATTCACATCTACTCCAGTCATCTGAATCAAACTGCAAAATATAGCTATTGATCCCATATATACAGAAGGAACCCTTCGGCGATTCGCATCAACACCCTATGACAAAGGCCCCGCACTACTCAGACGCAATCGCAATTTACGTCCTGAGACAGCCAAGTATATATAGTGGTATGCGATGCATGCATACATGTGTAGAACATACCGTCACTTTCTGTACGACATTAGGGGTTCTCCAGTGTAGGTGCATCAAAACTCGACTAAGTGCACTGTAGCCTAATTAAATTCCAACGCGAGATAGGCACTTCGGGAATCGATTTACTCTTCAAGAGGCTTGCTAGATTGGATAAAGGCACCTGCTTCGTATTCGGCTCGCCCCTAAATTTCTGCCAAAGGGCCGATTGATTAATCTAGGAAAGTTGCCTATGCAATTAAGGAAGCTTGCAATTGTGATACATATCCAAAATCAAAGCTCGAGCACGATGTTTTCTTTAAACCACAACATCGATGCTTTTATGTGGTGGTAAATAGTTCTAGCAAGGTTTATTTTCCGCCACGAGCGTTGGATACATGATCTTGCGAGAATGTACAAGACATTTTCAAACGTTCCAGGAGTTTTATAGCGCTGTTACTCAAGATCACTTGACGTGACTATCTGCGGATAAAATCTCCTCTGTTCCGATGATATGGAACTCAAACGGACGTTAGTCATGTCAGCTGTCAATGTCAAAAGATGGACTGTCTCACTTAGCTCATCAGTTGCCAGTTTGGTTCTTCAACAAACAACCACACTTGAGGTCTGTCCGGTTTGGGTATCTACTTGATACAGCATTGTTACTAGCGCCAGCAACGACGCCAAGATTTCTGGTACTGATGCAACCGATACTGATGCAACCGGAAATGGGCAAAAAAAAAAAGGAGGTCAATATCAAACCAATAACCTTTTTCTATGAAAGGCTTCACGCTGGGCATGCTGTATTATCGAATGTAAACACATAGAACAATACCCCCCCACAATTTTAGAGGAAGTTATTCTGTGGTGGGAACTGTAACTTCCACCGCGTTGCCAAGACAGCGGTATAACTTAGGCTGATGTGGATGCATGGACCTGGGAATTTTGTCCTAGTACCCCCAGCCGCAGACATGCGTTTCTACACCCATTCACCTCAAACGCTTAACCACGATACCCAGGGTGCAGTCAGAAGCAGGTTAGGGTTTAACTTGGATCATAGGAAGAGCTATACTATTACAGTAGCTATGCACTCTCCTGATATACTCGGATTCCAAATCATTTTATGGGAAAACACCGAAAGGAAAAAAGATTCACCGACGTTGATTATCATTTGAAGATAAACAAATCTTCCTTTGATCTGGCGGATAAACGTTTCGAGTTAATGTTGATTACGGGAAACCAGCGCGTATAATTATTAAATCCAATGAAGGGAACAAAACTTATTAAAACAGCACATAACAACAGTTTATCTTTGCTCTTTGTGGCGGGTTACTTTTAGAAATACAAGTACTTTTATAATATTGGATTGGAAAAGGCACATCATGATAGCTTACTGTGGGACAGGGTTTTCCTGTACAACATTGTCCCAAGGTCCCAGGCATTCATGGTCTAGATCGCCCAGGCCTGCATATGGTAGTTCGTCTCGTTAACCCCCCTGTAGGTACCAACCCTACTTTAGTTCAATCTTCATGATAATCGGGCACGATACATAACCGAGGGTTTTTGGTAGCGCTAACCCTGCCAATATCTTCTCTAAACAAAGGTTTGCGAGTACCCCCGCTTGAGGCGTCTTCCCTACATACGGATCGCCTGGGGATCCTCTTTCAAGGCAGACTATCAACGAATAATGGGCGTTACGCTGCTTTATCATGGTACAAGCTCATAATCAGGAACTAGGCTGCCGATTAGTATTGAGGTTTGGGAAAAGGAGATCGAGATAAAAGTTTTGAAGTGCTGGATTTGAACCATTCGAACAGACACCACTATGTATGTGCCCTCTCCAGACAACCGCGGCTAAGGTTCATATATGTGTAGGTACATTCAGTTGACTCTGCAGTTGTAGGAACTCTTCTAATATCAGTATTAAGGGATCCAAATCAACCCAGCTGCCTGGCAACAGGGAAACGTGATACCCTACCTGCATTTGAGACATTCCCAGAGTGTAGGTAGGTGCAAATCGCTTATACCGTACGCGCGGATTCCGTGCAGCAATTATTAGAGACTTTAGAAGGACCAAGAGATTAATAATGTGCTTGGGTTAATAGTTCTAGCTAGAAGTGAGATTTCAGCTAGTGAATACATGTGTATGTGTGTACTACATGATATCACTGTTCAGACAACTTCGTTTCCAAATACACGTACGCAATTATTGTCTCCAAAAGCCGCAGGTAAGGAGAGGAGTATCAATCTATCCGGAGCTCCTTTACACGTGCTGCCGAAGCCCTAGGTGTATTATAGGTACGTAATCCGTTTCTTGCTCAGTCGGGCCGATAGGCTTCTCGGGCAAGCCCGAACTGCTATCCTCGCCTAATAGCCTTCGCCTATCTACCTGTAGTTAGTCTTTCAAGTCTAGTATGTCTCACTCACTCGTTTCAGATCTCAGACATCTACATTTACCACGGTATAATTCAACAAGTAGCTTTCTCCCCTTTCCAGAGAGAGTATCGAATTGTCGGTCGGTGAGAGGATAAATCCTTTGGATACAATTAACTTGTATAGTTCAACTTCTAGTGGCCGACATTTGAAAACTCCGATTTATGGTAGCTACGACGGACGCGTAGTGCACAGATGAATTAGTAGGATTCACTGGTCCGGTTGGTTCTCTTTCCGTTTGTTTAGCGACGCTTTCTTACGTAGGTAGTACTGTATACTAGCTAGCTTATGTTCCGAATAACCACAGTTCACCAGAAGA